TGCTTTATAGTCTTCAGAGGCATTGAGTTTGGGATGTTGTAAACTATAGGCTGATGAGAAGAGGCAAAAATGAGTGAGTGAGTGAGTGGGTTAATGCTTTGAAATCATACTTGTATTTGACTAGCAGTTGTGTGAATTCTTTCACCTCGTCCATTCTGGATTTCATCGGTGTGATTGACTTCGCTTGTTGTTTGATTGCTTCGTCATATTGTGTCGGAGATGTATTCGTCACTATAAATATTGATTTTTTTTATATATTTTTGATTGCAGCTTGATTGAACACAGTACTTTTATAAGTAGAAGTAAGGAATTGTCAGCATTTGATATCGGTAGAAGTAATAAATAAATAAAAAATAATAAGAGTAGTAATAATAATAATAATGTAATAATCAAGTGTATTTTGGAGATATTCGTTAATTTGATTCAGCATGTTGCGATGTTATTCTCGGTTAGTATATTTCACTGGTATATTCATACTTCTATTTATATATACCTTCATATATTGATGTAGTATTGATGTATCTGAGATAGTTTTCAAGGCTACAGTTGATGCCACGAATACACGCAGGAGTGTTGGCTGGACACGTTGGCCTTGTTTTCTGGTGATTGAGGCCACAGGATTTTGGAATCAAGCATTTCTCATTAGTTGTTGTTTGTTGCAGCCTCTGATTTGTTTTTCATTCAGCACGCAGAATAAATTTCAATTAGGCATTTGGAGGACAAATTCCGTGAGATGATGATAACATTCCGTAGTTTCTTTACAACCAATCTACAACTAACATGCTCCACAATAATAAAATAAAGATGGTGAAAATTACTCAGTTAAATAAAAAAAACAAAAGTACATACTACTAATGCCCAATCATATTTAAATACGTCTAGTAGTCCATGGTAGGCGAAGGAAGGAAGGTTGAAGTCTATTGTTTTTGTACACATAGTTTAGGCTGTATGTGATTAATTCAGTGTGCTTCCATCACCTTCAATAACCAACCTTGAATTAGAGTTATGTGGTGAAATAATTGTGAAAGAGTCATTCATCATATTGATTGATTTTGTGACCTGACATTAATCAGTGTTTTGCAATGGATGGATGATGCTGCATTTGTATTCACAATAACTGCATAAACACTGATGACGATGTATATGTAGATGGATTAAACTGGTGGAGATATTTGATTAACGTCGAGTTGGAGAGTGTCAGTAACAACTGACATCATGCAGATTTGTTGGATCACCGTGAGTCACTTTCGGAATGTCGACTGTTTACGCCTTCAAGTTTTGTCAATTGAATCTTGTGAAAGAAGTTTCGTTGATGTGATTGACTTGGGAGAGCTAGAACACTGACTGATGTGATGTGTTTCTGGACGGCTGAGAGCTACAGTCACATGAGACGATTGTGAATCGAGCACAGGTGATTAAGAATGAGTCAGAGTGTTGACTGACCTGAGTATATTTTGAGACGAATATGACTGAGAAATAAGAGATATGAGGAGGTGAGTGGTTGATTTCGAAGGACTTCACTGACACGTTCGTGTAGTGGAGGAATCATTTTACGGGATGGAAACCTTCGTCTCCTTCTATATCACAGCTCTCATCATGTGTAGATTTCAATCTTCACTTGTAGAGTAATTGAATGTGGAGAATTTTATGCAACTACAGGCTTTCCTGATTCCTGCGTACAACACCTGAATTGAAAATGCCTGGCGGGATAGTTGTGTAAGGTAGGATGTGGGGCTGAGAATGCAGGAAGTGAATGTTCTGCATCTTCCAGCAGTCTAACGACCGTATGTATGTATATGTGAGATTGGAGTTTGTAGGTGAGGTATGAGAGGTGGCGATGGTTCGACGTGTTAGGTCGTATGTGTACTAAGGATGGAGGACATTAGTGCCGAACGAGTTGTTCCGAGTGACGCCCCACGCACTCACACACAGGATCGATGACTAGTAAGTACTTGAAGGAGAATAATGAGAATGTGATGGATGTGCGAGTTGAGCGTTGACAAGGATTTCGCGTTATGTCAGCAACGGTCGCCACCCATTGATTGTTAGCGCCAGATTCGAAGACGCCAGTCAGCCGAACTACACACTTCCACGTGCTTGATTGCAACACTCGAGGATTTCATGAGTTGAATCAACCACCACCATCACCACCACAACCACAACCACAACCAACTATCCTCCGAAGAACTTGCTTTCAATGCACTGGGTAACTTGTTAGGTGAATTGTCAGGCTGGCTGAATGGGATACGCATACAGCGTGAACATTCGGATGATGACACTTGTGTCTTCTATGCATTCTTCAAGTAGGTGTGTGCATGTGTGTGTGTGTGTGTGTCTGTGATGAAATGCCCAGAATCACTGAACTATCCGAGGTAATATAAGGAGGGGCTGGTCGTGTATACATTCAAATGTATTTGTTGACATTGGTGTGCCCACTCAATTACCGTCATTTCTGGTGTCACTAATAGAATACTTTCTTCACATCACCCAACTCACACTGTCACCTGTCGTCTGTCGTCCACCACTTACCCTATTCGTATTCATTTGTTTATTTTTCTATTTATTAATACATTTCAATCAGTATGAAACGAAGTCATTTGTGATGAGATTCGCCGAGGATGATGATGATGATAACAATGGTGACGTTGAAGAAAAAGCCTTGGTTTATAGATACTTGGTGGCTAATAATGCTGGATGTGGCGGTCGTTGCAGTGCAGTGCAGTGCAGTGGTGGTGCATTCATTCATATACCATGTTGTCGAGCCTTATCCTCCTTGTTTGTTTCAAAATGTCCTCCACTATCATTCGTCACCCTCACTCCCTCTCTCCCTCTATCTCTGTTTCCATCTGTCTGTCTGTATCTGTCACTCACATTCTGTGGAGTTAGTTGTGAGTGAAGTGGAGAAGGTGACTTTGTCGTCTTCCTTCTGCTTTCTGTCAGAACAGAACAGAACACAAGAGAACTGTTCGCTCATTGTTTGTGAGAAACCTGCTACAACAGAAACAACGACACAACAAGAGACAAACCATTTGTTGTAATATCCCTTATTCATAACCACTTACTCACTTACTCACACACTTACGCTTCTCCACACATACACACACAGAGTCTCGAAATAACGGACGAACGAACGAAGGCAGGAACGAAAACGATGTGTGATGTGGTTAGCGTGAAAATACACGTGGCTGCTCTCCACCTCATTTCTCTGATTCATCGGTTCATTCATTCATTCATTCATTCATTCATTCACTCACTCATTGATTTATTCATCGCCCTGCTGTCGACTCTGTATGAATTGGTCGGCATTTTGAAACTCCCATTTAAGGATGATTCGGAAGCATCATCAACGTGATTCGTTGTGTGTGTCCAGTCATCTTGTTTCTAAGATATAGGCGAATTTCTACAATCCAGCTGAACTCTTCCTTACAATAAGCTTCTCACACTGACAACATCTCTCTGATTCACTTGTGTTAGTTAATCCTGTTCGATTTGTTTGTCAATGGAAGGCGTATTCGATAAATGTCGATTTCAAAGACATCATTACAGATTGTTGTGTTCATCACATGGTTCAACCAATCATGGATTCGACTTGATTGATGAAAAGGATTAAAGACGCATGACCAATGATGGAGAGAAATACCAGCCTAGCACATACGCACATTCACCCACACTGGTCGAATGCAGTGAATAAGTCAGCGACTCGATGTGTTATTCCATAATGGGTAAATTTTATTTTTATAGAGTCTCACAGTGTTATACAGTAATATTTACTGATGACGTTTCGAGCACAATTTATTGCTCATAATCATATCAAGTTAATCACACGACTTCCTAAATTCATTTATATAGTCCCATTGTTTTTCACTTGATTTTCACTTGATTTGATTGGTATTATTATTTTCCATATTTCGGGTATTAGTGATGATTCATTCCTATTGCACGTGTTGGGTGTAGATTCGATGAACAAAGATTCAGTAATCAACCTCTCTCTCCACCTACCTAGATTACTTTTTAGAATTTTAACCCTCTCCCACCATGCTATTGTGTGGTTGTGTGTTAATGCATGCATTGCAATTGCCGAGCTTTTTTCTAAATTACTTATCTTCTCTGGGTCAACCATTTTAACCTTCGCTAAATTCTTATGTTCTGACAATCTGACTACCCCTGACCTACTAGTTTGACCTATGTAGTTGACCTCACAGTCATTGCAGGGTATTTTGTAAATTATATTATTTTGTCTAATTGGGTCCACTGGGTCCTTTAACCTACAGAGCTTGTCCCTGAGTGAGTTTGTAGGTTTAAATGCCACTCTAATTATTGATGGATCGCCAAGACTACATCGATAAAATGTTATCAGTCTTGTCAGATGAAAACAAATTTTCAAAAGAAAGTAGCCAGAAAGACCAAACGGAACAAATTGAAGACAAGCTGACACAAATGCTAAAGAAGATGAAGAACGAGTCGATTATCAGCTCTGAATTGTTCGAGCAAATACGACCCTCCGGTTCCGTGATTCCCCGTTTATATGGTCTGCCGAAAGTGCACAAAGAGAACGTGCCACTACGTCCAATCTTGGACATGATAAACTCTCCATATCATGCTACTGCCAAATTGCTCGCAGATATCCTCCTACCTATCAGAAAAACCTCTGCAAACATAGTGTTTCTGATTCGTTTGAATTCGTCGACTCAATAAATGATGCTAATGTATCTGGGAAGAAGATGATATCCATGGATGTCACTTCGCTTTTCACCAACGTTCCCCTCACTGAAACTATCTGCTTTATATGCAAATTCATTGAGGATAATAACGTAGACGTATGTGTTCCGGTCCACTACTTAAAGGAACTACTATTGAGGTGCACCCTAAACGTTCAGTTCAAGTTCAACAATACAATTTATAGACAAAGAGATGGAGTTGCAATGGGGTCACCATTGGGTCCTTTACTTGCAGACTGCTTCTTGGGCAGTTTGGAGAATAATATTTTACGGCCTACTATCGACAGCTTCCATCTGTACCAAAGATACATGGATGATACTTTCATCATATGTGACGACAATACCGACATCGAATTGATAACCAAAGAGTTCAACAGCTGCCATCATGCCATCAAGTTCACGTCGGAATCAGAGAACAACTCGGAATTCCATTTTCTGGATGTTTTTCTAAAGAGGAGATCGGATGGTTCTCTTCAAAGATCGATCTACAGGAAACCAACATGGAATGGTCAGTACACAAATTTCCATAGCTGGGTCCCTTTGAGAAGGAAGAGAAATCTAATCCATTCCTTATCCTCAAGAATAAGGAGGATATGTTCCAGTGATACAATCGATGGGGAACTGGAGCGACTCAGACAAGTCCTCATAGAGAATGGATATCCTCCGAGATTTATCGAGAAGAACATGAAGCCAAGGGAAAAACCTGAAAGAATACAGACGGTACCGAAGAAACTACTGTTTATGAGTGTTGAATTTAAAGGTGATACCGCAGCTGAGATCCTGAAGAATCGCTTATGCAGATCACTGAGGAAAGCCTTCTTTATGGCTGAGCTACGTATCAACTTCTACAGCCGACAAATGATCAACGGGTGTGTGAAGGATAAACTGCCGCTTTGGGCCACCTCAATGTGTGTTTATAAATTCACTTGCTCGTGTGGAGCTAGTTATATTGGCCGCACAAAGCGCACGCTTTCCAAACGCATCTCTGAGCATTATCCGGCATGGTTAGCAAAGGGACAATGTAAGACAATTACTAGCTCAATTCTCGAGCATTTGGTGAACTCAGGCCACGTAGCTCCACCAGAATCCTCTTTCAAGATCATCTACAAAGTGAAGCCAAATGGTACAAAGGGCGTCAGGTTCCGACTTTTGTGTATGGCGGAGGCTCTAGCAATTCATCAATACAACCCTGAACTCTGTATACAGAAAAAGTTGGTCCAGTCTCTTATTCTACCTTGGTCTTAACCTCTTCACTAATCGTTCCTTGTAAATAAAAAATTTTTGATTTTTGATTTTTTCTTTTCATTCTAATTTCACTTTTAGTTAGCTTTTGCTTTAATAATTAATTCACTATTATCACTCTCATATGCTCCTTTTGTATATTTTCACACCCTCTTCACACTTGTTAAATTGGCACTCAAATACCTTTATTCTCACTTAATAGCAATTTTAACCTTATCAAATTTCTATCTTTTTGCCGTTGAGTACCACGTAATTTTCAACTTCTAATTTTCACTTCTAAAGCCACTTCTGAGTAATTATATCAATTATGTCACCCCCTATTACTCAATAATAGACCACTATATATTTTTGTAAGTATAAATACGATTGTACAGCCTCTGAAGATGATTTCGTCGATAAAGAAAATTTTCTTCGCTGAATCCGTCTTTTATTTTCTACATCGCTCATCGATCAGGTCTCCCTTCACATGACATTTGAACTAACCATAACCAGTAACAAACTCCTCTCCAACAGTTCGTATGATCATCGCCACTAATCATCCTCGAAATATTAACAAGACAATTAAAACCAACCGACCAACTTCGCATTGTGTATAAACTATTAAAATGAAATTATAATTATCATTAACTTTACTTCTATGATAGCACACATTCCATTCCCATCGTCAACTACTACTCACCGTAGTCTAACCACCTAACCTGGATAGTGTTTCTTTCACTTCCACTGTCTTCCATGATCACCATGATGAACATGACGATGATGATGATGATGACCCAGTAGTCTCTCACACAGTATATTCAACAAGCCTCGAGTAGCTCATCGACCTCTCTCCTGTCAATGAAGAATGTGTGTCTTTCGCTCTCTCACTCGCTGCTGTCTATCCTGATCAGGAGAACTCACACGAATAGATGAAAATAACGAGGACGATATTGATGCGATTCGGGTGGTGTGACACACTGGTCGTCGAATGGTTCTTGCACGTTTTTTACACACTAAATCAGTCTTCTCCATCAGCTTCCCCCATCTCTCTCTTCATCCGTCGTGTAAGTTTCACACACACAAGGCTTTTGTCATCCACTTTCTCATCTTCCAATCGACTGATCAATCGATTGTACGCAGGTGTAGTTTAAACATTGCGATTTCAATGTTATGCTATGTTATACGACTCCATCATGAAAACTTCTTCATCTCGTTTCCCACCAATCATGAATTAGACATGAATGAATCAATGAGTGAATGAACGAATGAGTGGATAGAAAGGATTGAAAATTTCACACAGACAGCAGATATACACAGACAGAGAGAAAGAGGAGTGATCAAAACGGCCTGCATGCATGAATTAAAACACTCCAACACTGTACCCACATCACGAAACCAAACAACAGTTCGATTATTCTCCAATAATTTATGCATTCATCTCTGGCTCTACTCTAATACAATTAAGGAATAAGTGTGTGCACAGGTTGATTACGTAACAGATCGTTAAAGGAAATAAAACGATTTGGACAATGATCATTTGTAACTAAGGATGAAGTGGTCATAAGACTAAAATAGTTTTACAAGGATAACACGTAATTAAAGATGAAGTAGTTGTCAGAAAAAATAAAAAAATAATTTGGACAATTATAGTTCTTATCAATTTTAAAGGTTTAGGGGGAGGAGGACGAAGTAGTCCGGTTTACACATTCATGTAACGATGGCCAAGGCAAGGAAAGTGGCTGTACAAATTTCTTCTGAACACACAGGTTTGGCTTCTTCAGGTGGATTCCTACTGCTTCAGCTGTATGTAGAAGACGAACGCGTCAAGCAAAATTGACGTTAGTAGGAATGCGATAAATAATTTTAAATGCAGTATTGACGTCAACCTTATGCTCAGTATCAACAAGGTGTGTTAAAATAGAGCTACGAATAGATCTTGTTTATCCCTTGCTCAACCATGCTCGATGATGTTCGGAAATACGATGATGAAACTGCCTAATTGTACACCCGATGTAGCTGGCTCCACAGCTGCAGTCAAACTGGTAGATACACATAGAGTAGAGAAGGCAAATTTAGGAAGTATATCCTTATTTCTCAAACGTAGAATAGGAGTGGTTGTGAAGAGACAACGTACCTCTGCTGCATAATAAGCTCTTTTAACTGCATTCTTCAGGCACTGTGTCATTATTTCGCTGATGTTGGCACCGAGGAACTGTAGTTTTATGAATAGTGGTGTTTTCGGAACTGTTGCTATACTGACACTCCTATGTGCTGAATTCATATTTTTCTCAATGAACTTATCTGCATAACCACTTTTTCTAAGTAATTCTCTAATAATCTTAAGCTCCTCATTGAGGCAGTCGTCTGAACAGGTTAGCCTAGCTCCATGAACCAGACACTTTACCAGTTTATGTTATGTTGTTGTGTTATGTGAATGCATCATGAAAACGTCTCCATCTCATTTTTCACCAATGATGAAGTAGACATGAATGAATCAATGAGTGAATGAACCAATGAATGAGAAGAATTGAAAATCTCACATAGACAACAGATACACACAGAGATGGATAGGTAGACAGACAAACAGAGAGACATACAGTCAGACCGACAGACAGAGACAAAGAAAAAGAGCAGTGATACAAAATGCATGCAGGCCTGCATGCTTGAAATGAAACACACCCACGTACATAAGCAGAGCATTGTACTCACACCACGAAAACAAACAACAGTCCGATTATTCAGCAGTAATTTCTACATTGAAATGGAAAACAAATCAGAGGCTGCAACGAACAACAACCAATACGCAATGCCTGATTCCAAAATTCTGTGACCTCAATCACCAGAAAACAAATCCAACATGTCTGGCCAACACTCGTGTGTGTCCTTGTGACGAAAACCACTGGAACATCCAATGACAACCCTTCCATATACACCTATGATAAGTTACACACTGCCTTTATACATGAACATCAATACAAACAAACATAGAAGTATACCAGAGGAAACACTAACCGAGAGTAACACCGCGACATACTGAAACAAATTACGGAATATCTCCAAAACCGCTCGATTATTATTATTATAACTACCACTACTACGACAAATATTATTACTATTATTGTCATTGTTAATTATAATGACCAATACATATCCGACACAATATGACCAAGCGAACAAACACCGAGGGAAGTCAGTCAAACACATGATATACTCAAAGAACGAGGTGAAAGAATTCGCACAACTACTAATCAAATACAAGAATGTGTTGATGGAGAAAGAAAAAAGTCATGCATCATTCCTGATGAAGAAAGACATGTGGGTGCAAATCTCAGAATATCTGCACTCGAAAGGATATCCGAGACGACACTGGACTCGACTCCGTCATAAGGGACAAATTATGCTGAGAGGGCCGAATTTCACCATGACAGAGAGACTGGCCAGAGTGTGTCCCAATACTCCGAATTTTTCTGAATCCGCCACTATCCATCATGTGGCGGTCAGTGTTAATGGAGATTCCCATGTGGGTGGTCAGTGCACTTCGGTATGTTCACATTCCATAACGACATGTTAATCCCATTGAATGAAGGTAGGTAATGTTGACTCGAGTGTTCGTCAGTTGAGTCTGCCGTTACTGACTCCCTCACCATGTGTTTGGATATCACCGAGACCCCACATCAATTCGACGCCTTCTACGGTCTCCACTGACACGAATCCTTCAAACACAATGGGTCTGAGAATCTTGAACGTCTACTCAACAGCTCCTATTCCCCAAAATTTGTGTGTTCCATACGACTCAGTGGAGAAGACTGTGAATCGTACGAATAAGAGCGACGCGTTGGCTGATGGAGTTCAAGCACACAGTGGAGTGGATGAATCTGTGAGTATTTCGAATGGTGTTGGTGAGGTGAAGGGTTGTGGTGTTGGCGATGTGGGAGTTGGTGAAGGGTGTGTTGGAGGAGGTGGTTCTGGCGTGAGTGAGACTATTGATTTGTCGTTGTCGAGTGATGAGGAGGAGAGTTGTGAGGAGATGGATGTGAATGGAGTTGGTGATGATGTAGTAGGGAATGGTGATTCAAGTGACCGGGGTTATAGGTGAGTAATGATATTTGTTGTGTTAATTTGTCCTACTGTGCTGTTCTGTCATGTGATGTGATGTGATGTGATGTAGTGTGCTGTGCTGCGTTGTGTTGTGGTGGTCCTAGTTGGTCACTTCTCTTGATTCAGGTTGAATTTCGAATGTGACTCAACACTTGTGTGTGTATGTTTGATTTATTATAGCACTGATAGTCTTGGAATAGATTGAAACTGGCGTGTTTATTTTTTCACCTTTGTAGTTGATGTTTGTTATTCATTAGTTAGTGGAAGTGATTGTTCTGTGTAAAGGTGAGGTTGTGATGGTGTCAGCTCTGAAGAGGAGATTGACTGTGACTGAGGATGAAGGCGACACATTGAATGAGTGAATGAATGAATATGTAGGTGGAGAGTGGAGAGTGGAAGAGAATGATGATGGAGTATTGATCGGAAATGCATCATACGATAACGAGATGTGTTTCGGTGATTTCAGTTGGAAAGTGTGCAGTTACTAACGATTCCTGTGTACATGGAGTGTTGATTGAGAATAGAGGTGAGCAGTTGTTGTTGTTTTTGTTGTGAGTTAGTAAGGCGATGTGAGTGTTCGTCGGAGATTCGTCGTTTCACTGTGAACTGCTGAGTGAATGGTGATGATGATTTGGAGAGGGTTTTGATAGAATGTGATGTAGAATGGACGAAATGAATGTGATGGTGATTGGATTGTGCGTCTCGCCGGCAGGGTGACTGGGTGTTCATACGTTCATGCATTCGTTCTAGTGAGTGAGGTTGTATT